GATGAAGAATCAAACACAATCTATGACTTTCTGGGATGCTTTTTCCACTGATGTAGAAAGTGTCACAAATCAGAAGATATCAATCCTTTAACTGGAGATACGATGAACATATTGTATGAAAAAACAGCAAACAAGGAATCAGCTCTCAAACAAATGGGATATACCACAAGATCAATTTGGAGTTGTGAGTTTCATTCACCTGAAAACGGTCAAGTGAATGATATTATCAAATGTAACAAATACCGAATGATATCAAATGGATCGTTTGCTTTTAAAGACATTCTTGCTTTTCAACCACCAAATACTTTATTTGACAAGTTCTTGAAAACGTTTGACACAATCACAAAAGGGAATATTTCCACATAAAGTAACTCGGAATTTATCGAAATACATTGATGAACATCCAGATTTGACACAATATTCTGATATCATTCAAGTTCTTAAAACACTCACCTATTCCATCCAAAAAGTGGTTTTACAACAATCTAAAGGGAGAATCAGTTTCATCAAACGATTATAATGAAATGGTATTCACTCACACCAACCTGTATGATTTGCTGAACGACTACAACAATTTGGATGCGAAGCCAGGCGTAGAAGCGACAAAGAAGCTGGGTAATTTCTTTCAGTCGTTGAATCTTGATATCCACAAAAACGGCATCTTTGTTCCTAGACTCACTCTGAAATATCTCTGGCACACAAAAAGCAAAGACTGCAAGTTTCAGTTATTCAAAGGGAATGAAGAATTGTACCACAAATACAGAGATGATCTGGTTGGTGGTCCAAGTATCGTATTTCATCATTATCAAGAAAAAGACGACCAGAATTAGAAAAGGAAAGCTTTGTCAGGGAATACTTGGATATGATACCAATGCTTTATATCTGTGGGCGATAAGTCAAGATATGCCGTGTGGTGAGCACCAAGTAGTTCAAGTTTATCCCGATATTCTGAAAGATGTCTTGGATAACACGTTCTTTGGAATGATAGAATGTGATATTGCTGTTCCTGAGCATTTAAAGGAATACTTTGCTGAAATGCCTCCCATATTCAAGAATGTTGAGATTACATGCAATGATTTAAGCTTTGACACAGGCACATGTCAAACTCAATTACAAAAGTAACAGATTAGTTGAAAGTATGTTTGGTGAGACGATGATGTTTGCTACTAAACTGCTGAAATGGTATCTTGAGCATGGATTGGTTGTTTCAAATATTGCTTTTGCTGTAAGATATGAACGTAAAGCACATTTCAAGTTGTTTTCTGAGCAAGTATCAAATGAGTGAAGAGTCCGAGATACAAGTCCTGGTTATAAATTACGTGGAGAAATGATGAAATTGATGGGAAATTCATCTTATGGTAAATGTATCACAGATTTCTTGAAGCACGAGACAGTCAAGATTGTTACTGGAGATAACTACATCAAAAACATCAGAAGGAATAATTACATTGAACATCAAGACATGAACAAAGGATGCGAGTTTCGTTCAAAAAGATG